GAGGATCAAGTTTGTTCAAAATCTGGTTGATCATTCCAGAATTTGTGGTTATTGTTCTGCATACTACATGTCTGTGCTCCTACAAATACGCCTTAGGTCTTCTGAAAGAGAAAACTTGGATGAACCACTGAATACATCGAAATCTAAGAAATATAATGTTAGATAAAAGAATACTTTTACTGTTCATAAATCAATATTTTATATAGTTTTGATTGATTAAGATAAGCTAGAAATTGTATATTTTTCAATAATAATGGTTTTATTAATATTGACTGAAAAATTACAAAAGCACTTGTAATTTTTTCTATCATAGATTAGTACAATGCCATCTACCTTCAATACAAGGCTTCAGCATTGTGATGAATTAGTTTTTGGAGAAGATATGTCTCACAAACTTGATAAAACTTGTAATAATTTCAAACATGAATTACATCGAACACGTTTCGCAAGTTCAAAAATATTAAATTATTTTCTTCAGGGACTGAGGGACGTATTCTGCGTCTTTGCTCATACTAGCGTACGTCTCTATCTTGTTTGGTTTTACCAATAGGATTCTCAAAGGCTAATTAATGTCTTTCAATGTCTTGCAACTCTTCTCAAACATTGTGAGGACATAGCACGTACTCTGCAACATTTTGCGAGACGTTAGTATAGGTGTGACCAGAGTTACGGAACAATCACGTCAGTCTCTAGTTCTTCTTTACATGTCAGGGACGATTTTCTAGTGAAACGACCTATAAGAAGTGTACAAAAAATAGAAAATTCTTTTCGCTCACAGAAAGTTTTCTTTTTCATTTAACTGTTGATATGAAAAATGTTATGATTTCGATAATATCGGAATAATCATTTTTCTTAACCCAAAAAAAACTGTTCTCGTATAAAAAAAAATTAATTTGACTTGAATAAAAACATCTTTATATTCTGAAAGAAATACTCTAGTAGTTATGACGCATGTGAATGAAAGTTTTCAACGAAAAAAAAAAAAATAAGAAAATAGATAAAAACCTCTCCACCACCAATAAATTCTAAACATAGATATAGATTTGCATTATCTTTAAATTTATATAATAAATCAACAATAAATGGACATTTTATTGCTCCTAACAGATGGCATTCATTAATAACATGACGAATTTGTTTTAATTTAACAATATGTTGTTTTTCAAGAATTTTCATAGCTATTTGCTTTTTTCTATCTGTAGCAAGAACAACTGTACCAAAACTACCACCACCGACACGTCGTTGAATAATAAAATCATTTAAAATAGCATTATCGACTTGTTTATGATTATATTTATCAATGAAATGATTTTTTCCATTTAAAAAATGATTTCTCAATATCAAATGAGATTTTACCATCTGTGATCGATCATATGTTATTGTTGAGTTTAAACTAGTATGACTCAAGGGTGTTATTAAGCCAGATGACTTTGGTGATGATGTTAAATATGACGTCGATAGAATCTTTCTTGAAGATTCACCTTTAAATTACATTAAAATAGAATTATTCTAAAGCAATTTTATTAGGGTTTTTTTCTATTAACTAACCAAGCATTAGTGAATCTAACATGCGTCCAAAAAACATTGATCTCACCAAACTAAATAAAATATTAAAACAAGCGCGTTTTCTTTCTATGTGTAATGATTTGTGCATTTATTATTATTATTATTATCTATTTAGATGTAAAAATATATGTATAGCTGTAATAATGGCATAATGAAAAGCGAGTGAGGTCAAGCAGTGCTCTATTACTGATCATCATCGCTCGACTACTAGAAGAAAAACAAGTACAATAATTGCTATCATTGACACTATCTTTCATGGATTTTCCACAAGATTTTAGAGCACGGCTCTATCATTTATGATCTTCTGGATACGTTACCAAGTTGTAAGTTTTAAATAAAAAATATCTTTGTATTTCAACAGACATTTTGTTTTATTTAATCAATAAAAGAGTGCATCAAAATAAGAATTAATAAAACAAACTATCTTTTTTTCTTGTTCATATTACTAATTCTAATGTAGTAATTGTAAAAAAATGATAATAAATATGAAATTAAGTATATCTTTTTAGCTTGATTAGTTAATTGAATTATTATCAAATACTTTTTTTCTTGATAGAAAGGGAAAAGGTTGATTCCAGTCAAATGAGATTTGACTAAAAGACTAATCATGTTTCCGACAGTTTATGTATAAGATGGATAATTAAAGCACTCTTAATAGCGTATTCCTCTCTTCTCTCCTTCCTTTGCGGAAGATTTTTTTTATATGGTAAAATCTTTTTGCTTATGCACATATCATACTGAGCTTCTTGACTCGGAACTGAGCCGAATTAAATACAATAACAAGCGAGCAAACCAGTGAAAAATCATTAGAAAAAATGGACGATGAGAGAAATGCACTGACTGATGCTAATGGAATAGCGGAAGAGAAAGAAAGAGCGAGAAGATGAGAAGAAATCGAGAGCAAACAAAATAAAACCAAACCGTATGTATTAACAAATGATTTTTGCTTCATCATTGTCTTTGGTATCATTATTTACTGTTTGTATTTGAAACAAACAATCGTAAATTTCTTGCATATATATTATTATTATTTTATGTATGTAATCAATATAGACAAATATTGAAAGAGTATCCGATCGATTTCCGGACTAATAAATTAGAATGCATTGTAGTTTCTGCTTTTTTTATTTTCCATTATTCTAGATTACATTTAGAAATGAAACGGTTGTCAAGTCTATCTATATTTGTCGTTTTAGTGATGATACTCATATTCAGAATTGCACATACAGGTAAGACGATTTTAATGGTTTCTTTTTTCAAGTACAATTTTATGTGAGTATTTATATTAGAAGCAACTGTATTAATTGATGATAAATCGTCAATAGTTGAGAGTAGTGCAAGTGATGAAAATGATGTATCATTAAGAAACAAAAAAGAAGCAGGTTTAATGACAGCCCAACATATCATTCCATCACCCCTTCGGCGTCATCATCTGAAATTCGGTGTCCTTGGAAAACGTTATTCTTATGGTTATTTGGGTAAACGAAATGACGGTAATGACAAAAAAAAAGAATTTATCTTTCATAAATATATTTGTTATTTATTTTTTATAATTTTTATACTTTAGCATCAAACATGAACGATGATTTTCAAGAATGGTTACATAATATGAAACAACGACGTGCTGGTAGACCACAATATGGATTATTAGGATAAAACGTTTGTTGTACATTGTCAACATTGTACAAATATTTTGAAATAAACGATATTCATTTGATTAATTGTAGTCTTTTTATCATCCTTGATCAATATAAGAGTATGAATGATATTCAGTTCATGTTTTTTTATCGTTTTGTTTTTGATTGATAATAGAGTAAAATGATAATATATGATACGTTTATGTGCATAACATTTTCTTCTTCTGTTGGATAGAAAATGATGTAATAATTATTCAGTTGATAAACATACGACAATGAATATTAGAAATTATTTATTGTTAGAAATGAACATTCGTTTATATTTGATTTAGATTATTTTAATATAACAAAAAACACGTTTGATAACATTTTTAAAAATTCATTTTTATATTACGGAAATGCACAATGAAAAAAACATTCCGATCGATTTCTTCTTCATGTATGACATAGACCTTATCAAAACTATAAACTGTGTGTCTTTAGTCTCGCGAGAATCTCTCTTCTATTTTCAGAGTTTCTCAGGAACGGTTCAACGAAAAATGATGAAACTTTTCAGGCAGATAGATCTCGATAAGTAGAGCAAAAGTCTTCATAGACTCAGACACACAGATGCTATCTTAACGAGAACATGGGAATCGCAAAGGTTAAAAACGGCCAAAAGTCCTCCGCTCGCAAAACTCAATACTTCATTTTCTTTAAGCTGCAATTTTTTTATGACAACTAGGAACAAATCCGGGCACATGTGTTTTTTCTTTCTAAAAAACATTGTTCTTAGAGCTTAGAAGAAGCAAAGTATTGGAAGTACCGTCAAAATATGTGTTTGTTTCAATGTTACTATTTTTTTAGAGGCTGCTGAATTTCTTAGGAACAACACTTTGAAAAAAGGTGAAAGAACGCACCCCAATTTCACTAAAGTGCTCTTAAAAAATTGAGTTCAATCGGACGTACCATATTGGAGAAAAGGAAGGAAAACTTCCTTTTACTTTGTTAAAAAGTGATATTTTTGAAAAAGACAATACAAATTTCCTGTACGTATCAGTACTTTTTTCTCCAATTAAAGTGATTGAAGGCTGACTGTGTCTAGCGATGTTAGAGGTACTATGATACATGCTCTCAGAACCATTAAAAAATATTATCAGGCGAATGGTGCATCGAAAGAGTGAGTACTGTACGAGTTCTTCTTCTCAGGATTTCGAGCGTTGAGTTTGAAAAATCTATATTATTTGACAGAGGACACTTCGAAGCTAAATGTAAAATTAAAAGAAAAACTTTGATTTTAACATCCGAAAGGGAAGGTGAGTCCATGTAAGTGTGGTTGATATTATATTAAATATATATCTTAAGTACGTTAGTTTATTAAATAATATTAGTAATAATAAGTAAGTTCATACGAAAAAAATTGGAAGAAAATATCAAAACCGAATTACTTTCAATAACAAAATGAGCTAGATTCATTATTTAGACAAAAAAGAAACTTATTGTTGAGAAGTATTGCTTTTAGTTCTAATTAATCTATTGGCAAGAACCATAGAAAAAAATGTCTGTTTACTACCTAACTGACAGACTTTTTTAATCGTAATAAATAAATATATATGATGATTTGATATAGTTTTATAATTAATTCTTCATTATATTTCTATTATGTTTTGTTTGGTAATCTTGTCAGCATTATTTTAATTTTGGATAAATTTCAATGATTAAATATTTTATTTAAACAAATTAAACGTGATTTGTCATAATACAGAAGCAAAAGCAAAAAAGTAAAATATTTATGTTTTATCGATGATAATTGAATGATTAATGTTTTGCATCACCAAATAACTGAAAAACAATAAGCAATAATTATCTAGAATTAATATATTGATATTATTTACTTTATCAATAGCAATTGCAAGTTTATCGATTTTGTTCGGAAATTCAGTGATGGGATTTTGGTTCTTTTTTATTTGTCGCTTTTGTGTGGTCATATCTAATAAACAAAAGATTATACTTATTTTTTTTTCAAAATATTATTAATTACTTAGCCATTGTTTTATTTTTGTTATCGTAAATTGAATTAATTCAATTTCATTTTTATGTTGTAATTGTTCTCGACGTAGTAAATTAAAATTATCAACAATGATTGATATAAACATATTACTTAATAGAAATACTGCCAGAAGAATAAATAAAAATAACGATAGACCAGCTAAAAGTGGATCAACTTTTTTCAAAGCAGATACTGTTGACATATGTCGTGAAACCATTTCAAAACACGCTAAGCCTGCATCTAACCATGTTGAATATTGTTGTAAATAAGAATGAAATAATAGATAAAATAATGCAGTAAAAGCACAAAATACCAATGAAAACATTACAAGAAAACCTATGATTTGTTTGGTTGATTTTTTTAATGTTAAATGTAATAATGACAAACGACGATTAAAGCGAAGCAGACGAAGTCTACAAAAAAATATGCTCAATAAAATATATATGAATTTAAAAAACAAGAGTTTATCGAAAAGAAAAAAATACTATTAAAAAAAGTCCTAAAATCATTAGAGATTGTATTAGAAAAAAAAACATATCTATCCAGAGTAGTTTAATGAAAATGAATCATTAAAATTGTTTTATTCTCATAACTTAAAACACGCATAGTTAAAGGATATTTTTCTTTTTTACAATACGTATGGAAATAGTTTTCCAGGCATAGATCTATGTTCGAGACTTTGTTTTCAGATGCAACTTGTTTATCTTGGTTATAGGCATGAATATGATAGAATGAATTTCGTTGTTCATTTTACATGATTTAGAAGAAAAAAGAAAAGCAGGCGACTACAGATTAATATGAAATCAAGATAGTAATTGATTGTTCTCGAACGAAATTAGTTCAAGAAGAAAACATAATCTCAGTCCTCTATAATCATGTCATAAAAATAAAATCCATGAGAGTTCTATCGTATCATTTAAGCTCACTGTTTGAGATCAATTGTTTCGTATTACATTGTAATATACAACAGAGCTTGAAATAGTCCACCCGGCTCGAACTTTATTTCTTTTCTCAAGAAAAACTTTTCACATAAGAAAACAGAAAAAAATCTGGTTTTAATCAATCAAAAACGGCTAAAATCAATTGAAATCTATGATTTTATATTGATTCTTCGTCAAAATTTCTTTCAAAGGTTATATATCTCATACCTTGTAAAAATCAGGAGTCTTGATTATGCGAACATTTCGGAAGTTTCATTTAGGCAATAAATAAAAGCAATGTCTTTATTCAGTTCAACGACACTTCTCATCCACATGCAAAGCCGAATGCATTATCAAGTACATCAAGTGACATGGGTGCTACTGAAGTGGAAGTGCTAAGTATTTACTAAAAAATAGTAACCGATCTGACTCTTTGAGATTGATCAAAGAGTATTTTACTCGTGAATACTTATATTAGTAAATAATAGTCTTCAAGACATTGAAATATCCACGAACACATCTTGATCTTTCGATTCAATAAGTAATTCAACTTGTCTCTCATGCTGTTTTTTCAAGCGTAAAAGTTATTCAAACTTATTCAATTCGTGATCACTATAATAATACACGATTTTAGTGATCGTAGAATTTTATTGTGTAGAAATTCGATTTCTAAAAGAAATATTTTTTTAATTGTACTATCCTAAGTTGGGCCTGGCCAGGCAAATTTGAGTGATTCCTTGGCCTGAACCATCGGAAAAGGGCTCGATTTAGAGACCTACTATACATCGAACAACTAGTAAATATAGTATATTAGGATTTCAAGCAATGATAAGTAGCAACTATATATTATCGATTACAAATTTTCAAGAGAATTATTTGTCTGTTTCTAATTGTGATTAATTATTTTACTTTTTACTTACATTTTAACAGTACCAAAAAAACAACAGAAACCAAGTAGATAAGTTAGGACATTATCAAGATACGAGAAAAATTGTAAATTAATTGGCCTTGTTCCTCTTGTTGTTTTCAATGAATTTCCCATTTTCTTCATTTCTGTTTGTCTAAATATATGTATTGCCACACCAAACCATGAACATACAATAATAGCCCAATTAATATATGACCAAAATTGTTTTATATAAGCTTTACGCTTTTTTAAAAAAAGTTTAATTTCTGTTATCATATAATAAATAATTAAAATAAGATAAATAAGACAATAAATAAGATCTGTTCCTGTGTATAATTGAACAAGTTTAAATGGTTGAAATGATGGTCGAAAAATAACATTTGCTGTTGCTGGTAATTGTTCAAGAAGTAATGAACAATAAACAAATAAATTAGCATGAGGATTATATAGACCAAACGTTAGGAAAATAGCACGAGTATGTCGATCAATCCAATGGTGATTTTGAAGATATCGAAATCCTATTAAAATTTGTTCAGTGCTCCTTCCTTGGATTTCGTGTACATAGCCACCAGCCATATATGTTGCGTGTGAAGTTGAATAAATTAATGTGTCATCTTGAACTGATTTATAGTGAAATGCTTGAGTAAGTTTTGGTGGATCACTCGTGCTAATGTTAAATCCGAATGGATGTTTAGCTTCATTATACCAAGTATAAGGTAGATTGCAATTATCAATTTTCATATGATCATCAAGCGCTTTTCTTGGACATGATTCTAAAAGAATTTCATTTTCATAGCATCACATATGTATATATGTATCCAAGCAATCAGAGATGGAGAATATGTATAAAAGAAGTAATTTGCATTAAGCATGAGGGTTATAGTTTTATATATATATATATATCACGAATCTAAGCTAAATAAACATATATATTTGACTTCTAAGTATTTGATCCATCTCGAAACGCACATACAATAGAACATTCAATGTTTCCTTCAGAGATAGAATATACAGCTACTAAATGATTTCAGTAGCTGATTTCTTTGTAACAATTTTTCGCTTATTACACTCATTCATGTAACTAGCTGTTTTAAATCTAGAGCTATGCAAATGTATTCGATTGCTATTTCGGATAAAAAGAAGTAAACAGTTACATTTCCGACTAAGAAGTGGTTAATCACTGCAAAAATAATCATCGCCATTGAAAGCTAAAATAACATCACATGTATGCTGCGGGTGACTTTTATTTTTCTGTTCTTTGAATATTCTTATTTCGTATTATGCAATTCTAACTAAAACATAATTTTCGAAATGTTTCTAAACTTATCTTCTTTCCACTCAATTTAAATGTTCAATAATTTATTTCAATAGTTGTCAATTCAAATAAAAGAACAATTTCATGACATTCTCTTTTCTTATTCATCCGGCTATCTTCAAAGCTACCTTTGTTTGCTAACAAAAATACAATCATAATAATCAAGTAACCAAATAAAATTTCAATAGCTATTCACTTGGAGATATGAATAATCAGTAAGTAACTGAATCTGTAGTAAAGTGGGAAATATCGTTACAAAACTCTCTTACACATCTCTATTTACTGTCATACAATGTAGAAGCAAGCGTAGGATAATAAATCCTCATCAGCCATTGATTACCATCACATAACTCGTTTTTTGTTCTCTGTATTCATAAATCCTTTTTCTGTATATGTGAACGGAATCAAACTTTCAGGCGAAGGGTTTATCATCACACATTTTCAACATAGCCGTAGAAAAATAAACCCTTCGCCTGATGGTTTATTTCATCCTAATATTCAAAAAAATAGAGCTTATGAATACAGAAAATAGTACAAGGGCATATGAGTTTGCAGGGAGTCATACACTTTTGACAAGGTTTATGAAAAAGTGGATTACGCTCATAAATCAAAACGAGGATTTATGTAATGACTAGCGAGAGCCCGTGCATACTGCACAGCTGTTTTCTTCTTTAACGTATGACCTAAGACATTTAACTTTTCATTCAGAAACAGACATACAGACACTCGATATTATGTATATAGATAGATAGCTCTACGGCTTCATACTCTAATATCGCACATATTTTTATAGTCCATGTAACCTTCGGTCTTATAGCCTCGTATCCCTTGTAGCTATTGTAGCCTTATCTCCTTATTGCCTTACAACTTATTGCCTTAGTCCCTTGAGAACCTATGGCTACCCCCATATGATAGCTCTTCATGTCCTATAGATATACCATATAATAGCCCTTGAGGATTTATAGGTACCCCCGTATAATAGCTCTTGATGACTTATAGATACCCTATATAATAGCTCTTGAGGACCTGTGGCTACCCCATATAATAGTCGTTGAGGATCTGTAAGTACTCCTATATAATAGGTCTTAAGGACCTGTGGCTACTCCTATATAATAGCTCTTGAGGGTCTATGGGTCCTCATTATGACAGCCCTTGGGCCTTCTCCTAATAGCCTTATTTGATCTTTAACCTTTGACCCGGCACAGAGAAACATACAGACGCACACTGGACATTATATATATAGATAATAAACGAATGCGGAGGATTTATTATTGTACACTTGTTTTTAGAGTGTAGTACTGAGTATTTACCATTTTTAACGCGTAACTGTCGTAATGTAGGCCAGCCAATAATTCTATTTGTTTGAGTATTTTTTAATAAATGTGTATTATTTGTAGTCCGATCATTCCGACATGTTTCTAGATATTTATTAACAAAAATATTTTCTAACCAATACCAATAATCTTTAATCGAATTGATATTTTCAAATACATAACTATTTTTCTTTTGTCCAGATTTATATTTATCTGAATAATGATAATCAATTTTTAAAAATTCTCGTCGTAAATAGTTGACCATTTGATGTGCATCATCAATATCACGATTAACAAAACTAATTGCATAAAGAACACCAAGAAATAATAAAAGAAAAAATAATTCACGTAAAATTAACCATGATGTAACTTCTTTCAAACGAATTTCACGTAAGTTTTTTAATGCTGCTTTTTCACGTTTTGCGCGATAAGGATCAAGACGAGTTTTAGCTAAAATAGATTTTGACTAAAAATAAAAATAAAAACAAAAGCTTCGATAATGAAATGAAGAACTAAAAACATTTTCTACCGGAAATTTTCGATGTGCATCTTCAGTTGAAATAGTAAAATCTTCAACTGGATCTTCTTGTTCAATAAAAGCTTCAGCTTGAGATTTTTTTCGACAAAGACACATAAATAATAATGCTAATGCAAGTACTTTAAGTGGTTGAGTAAGAAGTACAGAAGCACAAAAACTTGCAAGAATTGAACCAAGCCATCGGCGTGTTTTTGAATCACCATATTGAACACTGCGTACAATGATAAAAAATACTGAAGTACTAACCATTAAAAATGAAAGAACATAAGCAAGTATTAAACACCACCATGGAAAAAAAATTTTTTTTTCTTTTGATTCAATTGAAAGTAATTTAGTTTTTTTTGCTGGCTTATGTGCTCCTATGTTTTGAATTGCCTCACCAACAGGAGATATTTTTCGAGGACGACGTGGTTTTGATCGACGAAATAGAGCCACAAGAAGTAAACTTGGAATAAATGTTATGAATTCAATAATGACACCAACGCTAATCTAGAGTTTAAAAAAAATGATCTTTTTTTCCTATTAGAAAATGTATTCTTATTTGAAATAGATTTTCTTAGAAGGTAGCATTTTTATTATCAGTACTACTCAAACCATTCGGCTTTTTATTATATAAATATAGCAATTAATTGAATCTATGCAAAAAATTTTTTATAGCTAATGAGATCTTCAGTGTACACAGTGACTTCAAATTCCCACTTCAAGACCATTTTGAAAACAGTCTGTTATAGTTACTTATTGAAAGGTCTTCATTTCATATAACTGACTTACTATTATTACTCAGTAAAAGATATTTTATATTCAAATTTCTAAATATCAGATAAGAATCTCAATATGTTGAACTGTTGGTACATCCACAAGATGACTGAAAAACAATTGGATATATACTTTAGAAAAATATTCAAAGTAAAAATTTGAAAGTTAACATGACGAATGAATTTCTCATTTTCTTTTATTTACATGACCAAAAAAAGAAGAAAAAAATCTGTACTCCTATATTATCTGTCTTTTGTTTGTCTTACACAGTGATGAAAACAAAACAGATAGAATATTTGACATCATCTATCATAGTGAAAATTCATATCTTTTCTTTTTAGTTAATATTTGATCGAAAATTTCTTAATTAATTAAGTTTTTTACTATATTTCGAATTTTCATCGTTGAAATAAACTTGGTTATTGTCAAAGAACCTTGATAGTATAGTAGAACGATAAAAGCTATTACCTCTTCTTTAGAAAGATGAAATGGTCCAAGGGTTAAGCCATATTGATCATTTTCATTTGTATTTATTTCTTGCTTTGTATCATAGTAAAAAATACTCATAAGAAGACTCATAAAAAATAGTACAAAACAACATGTACATCGTTGTACACGAGTAAAACGATTAGCTGATGGTAAATGATAAGCAAAAATTGAAAACCATAAATGATTATCAGCCATTGATCGGTAAGCATTTTTTGATAGAACATGTTTTAATTCCAATTGTTCTAGTTCGCCAGCTGCATTTATTGTTACATCAATCTATAATAATACATTTATTTTTTAAATAAAATTAAGAATCAGTGTTTTTGCCGAGGAGGAAACGCGACTCTTCTCGAGATTGAGCTTGCCTCTCAGACTTTGTAGCATCTACTGTTATGTGTATATACTTCCAAGAAAACAACATGTTCATCCTTTCGACTAAGAGTCTGTTGATTGCTTACTTCTCCAGCATCTTTTTCTACTGCTAACCATCTTTCACAAATAAAGTAACTTGTTTCCATTGTTTGTAAATCTCGTACTAATACATATTTAAGAAACCACGATGCATCTGAACCTGGACCAGAATTATCATGCCAAATACGAAGATAATTAAGTTGACCAAGTGATCTATATAAAAGAAGAAAATAGAAAAGACGTCTTTAAAAAAAACCAGCATATAGAACTTTATTAACACACCTCGGAACAGCCATAATGAATGAATCAACATTTCCACGATCAAGTATTCGTCGATCAGCAGTTAATTTTCGTATATCAGTTTCATCGTCACTTCCAGAAAGAACGAAATGAACCTTATAATTTAAATTAAACCTTCATTATATTTTATTTCTTTTCTTTGTTTTCTTACTTTTGATTTTGTACCAGCATTTGCTCTCATTCCTGTAAATACTACTAATTGATAAAGATATCTATCATGTCGATTATTATCACTCAGTGGTATTACCATAAGCTAAGCGAAAACAATACATTGTACTATAGAGAAAAAAAGATGTTTTTCTGCTTACCATTTTTGCATCAATACCATCTTTATAATATGAAAATCCAGTTGTTAGAAAATAAATTAAACCAATAATAACTAATGTAATATAAATAGTCAAATTCCTTTTAAAATCAAAATCTAATGAATTCCAAGGAACAGGCTCAGGAAGTACAAGAAAACCAGCAGCAAATGTTGTTAAATGTGTTGAATAACATTGAATAAAACTTTCATTCGTTTTCGGTCCAACCTAGTTTTAATTAAAAAAAATTTTTTTTTGTGTTTTTTTGTTTATACCTAAGGTACTGACAATTGGAAATTTGAGCAAAATCTTTTTTGTCACGGTTCGATCGAATTTCGTGATTTATCTGTAGGAATGTTGTTTTCGACATATTCAAACAATGTTTTAGTAGTAAACCTTATGTTTAAAAAAATTGGAAGTATGCATAAAACAATGAAATACACCAAAAAACATCAAGTGTTTGAGTATTTTTTTTTCATTTCACTCGCCATACAGTTAGGAAAAATACTATTTGATTGTTGAGAAAAATCAGTTTTTTCTTGATATAATAGCAAAAGAACTAAAAATTCAAATTTCTATACGAAGGTTTTCATGATGAGAAGTACAACGCCAAAGAAAACGACTATCGTATTCAGAATCACCATAAAAAATTCGTACTAAATAATATACTCAAATTAAAACCTAATTTTCATCCAATTTTGACATTATGGAAAGCAGTTGTTAGAGTATTCAAAAACATCAATGAAGGAATGTAGAGACCCAAATTTGAGAAAAATTAGTTTTCAATATTGAGTATAATTATTACTCAATATAGATTTTAAATAGGATATCCGTTTCTTTTAGAACAAAAGTTCTGATTGTGGAAATCTTAGAATACAACACATGAAGAGTGTCCTATAATAATTGAGCATAAATTGTCACGGATATTTTTCATACATTACCTGAATGTGGAAGACTGAAATTTTCATCACATATATATCTAGCCAAGATCTTTAATATTCCAAAGTTTCCATTCTCTAGCTAAAGTTAGTGCTGAAACGCTTGAAATTTTGCACTGGACTTCTATGATATCTTTGTTTGTTGACCATTGATATTTATAAACATCTCATGGAAACAAACGATACAAGAGAATTTCTTTCAAAAATATCAATGATAATAAAAGTTAATGTGTATGAACATTTTCTTCATTGCGTTCTATGACAATTTGTAATTGATACGATATTTTATTTATTATTTTTCTGGTGAGAATTTCCTCCGTTCTTGCGCATTTTCTTTTGCTAATTGGAATGATGCATGAAGTATTTTTTCATGAACTTGTTGTTCAGTACATCTCCTACACTTTCAGTTCTTAATATATCAGGAAACTTAATATCACTCTTTATTGATTCTATGCATTCATTAAATAAATTTGCGATGAACCGTACCACCTATACTCCTTGTTGCTTCGAGACGATCTTTTCTGTTTTCATGTCTAGTAAGCATTTCAAATAAAATTTTTTATTAAATCTAAAAGGCTTCATATATAAATTCATTCCTTTAGAGTTAAAAACATCTTTAGCTGCTCTGTTACGATTGACTACATACTAAAAATATTACAAAAATCTACTAATACGATAATTATGTATGTCAACCTTATCCATGAATTTCAATACTAGTTTTAGGTAGAAAGCTGATATTTTGTAAAATAAAAGATCTTGGTTAGATATATATTTATGTCATAATAATTTCAGTCTTGTACTTCAAGAAAAGTATAAAAGGTACCATTGACAATTTATCCTTAATCAATTTTCATACGATTTTCTGGTTCTTTTCTTAACCTAATCTTCTTATGCTTCACTACCAAAGCATCATTTGAATATGTCAAAAACAACATTTATATGTGAAAATCGGCGAGCTCTACTTAATCATAAGAAAAAAAATTTTGTTCAAATTTCAAATAGCGAGCATCTTACTATTAATCCATCTGATTGCCAATTATTATCATCATCAAGATAATAACAACCAGATGTATACATCCGAATAGAATAATCAGATGAAAATTGAATATTGTCATCAAGATTATCTCGATTACATTCTTTCATTTCACGAACACCAATAACAGCCCACTGATGATGTGAAATTCGAGTATTATCAATAAAATATGTATACTTTGAAGTATGAGGTTTACGATCTATAAAATAAAAAAAACTTTTCTCTGTGATAATTATTCTTATTAATAATAAAATAACCTCTTGGACACATGAGTTTCCATTCATCGATAAGATTTTTGTTTAAATTAGGTACATTATTAAATCGAATAATAAATAAATACGAAAGATTTTGATTTTTTGGTTCAATTTCAATATGAAGTGAAATTGATAAATTAAGATTATGTGTTAAATTAATATAATAAAATTTAAATTTTATATGATTTGATAATAAAGTAACATTTTGATGAATCATTGGTGGCATAAGACTATTAGTTTTATGTGGTATAAGAATTTCAAAGGGATGAGTTGTATTTTTAATAGTCATTATTTGACCATATGAATCATGTAATGTTAAGGAAACAATTGATGAAAATGGCAAAGTAATCAACTGATTGGAAAAATAAAAAAAAAAAATAAAAAGACCATGAACTTATATTCTTTACTTTGATTATGATCGATTTATTAATATTCAGTTGAGGAAATCGAACATTAGCACCATTTAATTGAAATAGTTGTTTACCTGTAATACTATTAGATGGCACTTTTTCGAGCGTGATGGAAATTGATTGAGTATTTAATTCGAATTTTTCACTATTATTCAAATTATCATTGAGTTTAGAAATAGGTTTTTTGAATTGTAAATCTAATGAATTAATCTAGAAAATTGAAATGAATTTATTAATAAATGAATTATATTTTTACTTACAATTTGTTGTCGACAATAGATATTTTGATTTGTATCATTAGTGTGTATATTGATAAAGTTCTCATTTGATGCAAATGCATCAAGAAAACTATTCAGTAGAAATTTTTCTCTGTTATTATTGCTGATGCCACTTGGTTGATTTGAATGACAGACGTTATTAATGTTCAAATCATTGATATTATCTAAAGATTTTTGTTTTTTATGATAGATAAGATTTTTCCTAGGTATCCTTCATTATGTTTTTTTTATACTGATCTTCCTTTAAACAATAATATTTTATTAGCAGTTATCAAAAAAGTATAAGTCAGTTGAGATGCTTATTTTCTTATCTTTGTTAACTATCTTATCTAACGAAGGAAGTCCTTCAACTGATAAATAACTTTTGAGTCGAGACTATGTGTATTATGCAGACCCAACTGAGTCATCAATATCCTGAAAAATTTCGTGCCTTTAAATCATCGCTCCAGAGATACTGCAGTTATATATTGTTTTTTAATAATGAATGCCGTGGTCTTCTCCTTAAAAACAACAGAGAAAACTGATTTTCGAATTTTGACTTACAACTTCACAGAAAGGTAGACCTTCACAAAAGTAGTTTCAAGTCTTTTGATTTGCTTCTATCCTGAAATAAGAACACCATTCATAGCGTATTTATGTCTACATAATGCACATAATCTCAACTCAAAAGCGATTTATCAATTACAGAAGTTTCCTCGCAAGACTTTATAGTTCTCTGTCAAGAATAAGTAGATTATATTTATATGTCATTCAAAATAGCTTTTCTATTATATGTTTGATATCATTAATGAATAAAATGACCTTTGCATATCATTAGTTGTATTTTTTGAATCTACATACTTTCATCATTAAATAACAACAAGTCATCCACATCAGCTGTAACCCAATTTCGATCATCGATGATAATACCTAACTCAATTCAAAAAGTTAAAGTTCGCTAGTGCACATCATACTTACATAGTACTAAAATAACATTACGGACAAGCAACATTATGATGAGTTTTAGAACAACTTCTGTTATATGATTTTATTTCTTAACACTATATCATCGTTAAATCAATTTTAATAGACATGATTTTTAACGTATTCTTTAAAAAAACAAAGAATAATCACAAAACGGAACTTTTGTAACATGTTTTTTAATAGTTATACGTGATAATTTTTTCGTTAAAAAAATGATTTCCTATGTTGTCACGTAGAGATTTGCGTCAGAGCTTAATTTACCTGTATATATAAATATATAGCTTAATCAAATTTATCATCGAATGATAGTAAGATTTTGTTTCACTATGAAAAATTAAGAAAATAGAAATAGTAATCTTATCTTTAAATTCAGAATCATATGACTAAAATGTATATAGTCTAAATGTTGATTAATTTATTTAGTAAAAAAACACTTTGAATAAAATTTTATATATTTCAAAGAAAGCTTTCATTTAGACTTCTGTTTTTTGTATGCGATCAATATAAATATTTAATTTTTTCCATTTGAATTACTTTCCGGATATACAGAAGAATAAGGTGGTAGCTGCTCATTATTTATTGATTCTTTATTCCATAATTGTTGTTGTGGTTGTTGATAAGGTGATTGTTGTGAGTAATAACCAGTATTCATCGATTGACCA